TCCAAATTCAGAGGGTTTTTTTCCCCATCTTTTTCTCCATTTCTGAATACAGAGCAAAGGAAAGGTGTCTCCAAGACGGTACTAACCCCAGGGCTGCACATATGTTCCACTTCCAATGAGCGACCCTTAGTCATCTTATGAGTCTTGCGAGCATTGAATTGTTGCAAATTTACCTGCCACGAAGCTTCAGTGAAGATTTTTTTTTTTTTTAAGAGGAAGTTCAAGTATCCCAAGTGTGAAATCCGGAAAGGAAAAATTGAGATCTAAATATTAGAACCAACGTTCTATTTGCTTGGAGACTTTGCAAGCTAGTTGCAACATGACTTTTAAAATAAAACTGCAGTGGATCTCAGTCTCGCACCTTCAGAGGTTCTCCTGGGACGCAGCTCGGTGGGAAGCGGGATCTCAGACATCGACATTCATTTTCCTGCAATATATATATAGTTTTTATTCCCTTTGTGTGTGCGTGTGTGTGTGTTAGCCTGTGATTGTTTATAGTGGCTACTTTCTTTGTAGCCCTGGCTATTTATCTGGTTTTTTTTTTTGTTTGTTTGTTTTAACAGGCAGACGTGGTTTCTATGTAACAAATAGCATTGTCTGCCAACCTTACAGGAGTCTGCCCTCACAAAAAGTGACGGGATTTCTCCCGGGACAGGCGGACGGACGCGTGGTCCTTTCCCATGAGAGTTCACGTCAGTGCAATAATAGACCTGCATTTCGCCCAGGGTGATAAGTGGTTTCGTTTGTCACTTTGGCCACCGCCTGGGCTCAGAGTGTTCCATTGTGCTCAGACTCCTCCGTGCCCGTTCCTTGGTGGCTGGTGACCTGTGCCAGGAAAGGTTACGGGATCGAACCCGAAGTCTGACTTGCTGGAAGTGAGCAGGTCCATCTTCTTTGCTGAAAGCGCCACCTAGGATCAGGGGTAAAAGGGACGATTGTCCTCAGAAGCCAAAGTTGGATTCACGAGTTAAATATGCAACACGGTTTGCATACGAAGTTGAGTTCAGCTACCTCCGAGAGTGGGCTTGCTTTGTGTTTTCCGGGGTGCATTCCCGCAGGTAATTGTGAGGGTGCACAGGAATTAATGGAATGAATCCGCGAGAGAATCGAGACTCGGGGAACATGCTTTGGTGTGAAACTCAGATGGGGGGCGGGTGGGAGAAGGCTGGTCCTGCAATGTGCATCTAACCCTCTCCCTCTATAATCCGGAGCTAGAGAAGTGAGAAATTAGCCCTCCTGCTCCCTATCTCCAAACGGGAACAGCAACGCCAACATTCAGTCAATAGCATATCATCAAGTTGCACAACACCAGTGTCCATGTCAATTTCATGAAGTCGATTCTATAATAGCTTTCAAATGCTATTATAAATGCTATTTCAAATTCTATAAATGCTTTTCAAATGCTCTTGACGAGGGGTTGGCCATTCTTAGACCGCGGTCCAAATTTGGCTCGTGGCCCATTTTTGCAAATGAGGTTTAATTAGAACATTTTGCAAATTAAAATGTGTAAAAATAGCACCCATTCACCTGGGCACGGTGGCGGCGCATGCCTGTCATCCTAGCAGCTGGGGGGGGGCGGGAGGCTAAGGCAGGAGGATCACAAGTTCAAAGCCAGCCTCAGCAACTTAGCAAGGCCCTAAGCAAGTCAGCGAGACCCTGTCTCTAAATATAATACCAAAAGGGCTGGGATGTGACTCAATGGTTAAGCACTCAAATGGTTCAATCCCTGGTACCATAAATAAGTAAATAAATAGCCATTCATGCTCTGGGAGCTATAACATCTTCACAATTCTCTGTTGCTTTGTGATTTAATAGAGTTTTTTTTTTTTTTTTTTAAGGAAGAAAAAGCTTCGAGACTGTCTTATCTTAGTAATGGGAGTGCACCCTCTGGGTGGTGTAGATTGTCCACCCGAGTCTTAGTTTTGGGGAAGTGTACATCAAACCTTCGTATTTTGAAAGCATTATTTCCTCCTATGTTTCTTTTGGAAGAGACCACCTTTGGTTTTTCTCCATGAGCGTAGCATATCCGGAAAGCTCGCAAGTTGACTTATTTCCAGGGCAGACTCTCTGGCAGTGTGGATGGTGTGTCCCTGCACCTTAGCTTTCCTCTCGCTTTGCGGTGATGATGTCCGCTGAATTTTTGTGTCCTGCAAGGATCTGCCACTCCCTTTCGTACGTACGCGAAGGACGGAACCCTCCATAACAGAAGGGTGCTGCTGTGACTGTGTCATCTCAAATGGGAACAGCACTCCTCTGACTTTGCATTTCACCCGCGGGGATCTTATGATCTGACCGTTTTGATTGACAAGTTGGAGCCTGAAACGGGGCTATCTCCTCTGGACAAGTCCAAGTTCACCCTTAGGTGAAGCCTCTCAGTCAACCATTCAGCAAATGCTGACGGAGCCTTTGCTGTGTGCTAGGGGCTCTTGCGAATGCCAGGAATGTAGGAGCGAAGGAAAGAGAGAGAGCTCTGATTAGCCCCAGGGCAGGGAGACAGAAAAGAAATAAGCACAACCATCCATCAGCTTCCAAGGAGGATGCTCAAGTTCCACATGAAAACCGTGTACTGTCTGCACGTAACCCATGCACATCCCCCTGTAGGTTTTGATCTTCTCCAGTTACTCATGGTCCGCCACGCATGGAGCGCTACATGAATGCTGTTACACTGACAGGAAAATGTCTGGACGCATTCGGGACAGATGGAATCCCCTTTTCTAGTATTTTTAACCTGCAGTCTGCATTTTGACTTGGCAATTTAATAGTGATGGGGGAGGAAGCCATTAGAAGTGTTGGGAGTCACCCCAGCTCCAAAGACTAAGTTCCCCATCCCTCAAGAAGAGCCGTCCAATGGTGAGCCCTGCTGGCTCATCTGATCCTTACCCACCAATCAGATTAGCCGTGCTGGCTCACCTGATCCTTACCCACCAATCAGAGCCCTGCTGGCTCACATGATCCTTACCCACCAATCAGACTAGCCCTGCTGGCTCACATGATCCTTACCTACCAATCAGACTAGCCCTGCTGGCTCACCTGATCCTTACCCACCAATCAGATTAGCCCTTCTGCTCACCTGATCCTTACCCACCAATCAGATTAGCCCTTCTGCTCACCTGATCCTTACCCACCAATCAGACTAGCCCTGCTGGCTCACCTGATCCTTACACACCAATCAGAGCCCTGCTGGCTCACATGATCCTTACCCACCAATCAGACTAGCCCTGCTGCTCACCTGATCCTTACCCACCAATCAAAAAGCACCCCATGCCAACTGTCAAACCACCCCCGGCTCTATAAATATGCAGAGCTGTTCCTCAATAAAGGGGCATTTGCTCCGATGTCGAGCCTTGTTCGTTCTTTCATGAAGAATCACATCAATGTCATGGAGGTGCACCATCTTGGTATGATCAGGAGTCCAAAGGAGCCTTACTTTTGTGAAAATGTCTGAAAGATACACATTATTTTTCAGGTGACATGTGCTAAGTCTACTCGTATAGTCAGGACGTTGGAGAAAATGGTGCTAGAGTTTTCTTGGTCAGGGGGACTATGTTAGCTTCCTGGGATTGTAACAAAGACCCCGAAATGCTCCTGTGTTAAGAGCCGATGGAATGTGAGGAAGCAGGGGCAGGTGCCTGAGCAGGAGCAGGCGTGAACCTGAAGGCAGATTCAGTGCAGAGAGGCATCCTGGAAGCCGGAGGGAGGGGTGTGCTGCAAGGAGAAGGAGGTGACCACTACGGGTGACCAAGGCAGACTTCTCACGTGCAAGGGCCCTATGCTTCCCACACCAGAAAAACCCCGAAACTTTCCTATTTTAAATAACAAAGCAACTAGCCCGCGTAAAGCCCCAGGCACCGCGGATCCCAGAAGAAAGCTGGGAATTTATTTTTTATTTTTGTGTTTGTTCTAATTAGTCGTACGTAAAGAGCAGAATTTCAATTTCAATTCATGGAGCACAAGTTTTCATTTCTCTGGTTGTGCACCATGTAGAGTCACACCAGTCGTGCAATCGTGCAAGTACCTAGCGGAATAATGTCTGATTCATTCCGCTGTCCTTCCTACCCCATACCCCTCCTCCCTTCACTCCCCTCTGCCTAATGCAAAGTACCTCTGTTCTTCCCTATCCCCTCCCCATTGTGCATCCGCATCCACATTCCAGAAAAAAAAAAAAAAAACATTTGGCCTTTGATTCTTTGGGATCGGCTTATGTCACTTGGCACGATCTTCTCCAGATCCGTCCATTTACCAGCAAATGCCATCATTTCATTCTTCTTCGTGGCTGAGTAATATTCCACTGTGTCTATAAACCACAGTTTCTTTATCTATTCGTCTGTTGAAGGGCACCTTGGTTGGCTCCACATTTTAGCTCTTGTGAATGGAGCTGCTATAAACATGGATGTGGCTGTGTCCCTGTAGGGTGCTGATTTTCAGTCCTTTGGGTATAGACTGAGGACTGGGATAGCTGGGTCAAATAGTGGTTCCAGTCCAAGTTTTCTAAGGAATCTCCATCCTGCAGAAAGCTAGGGATTTTTTTTTTTTTTAATATAAGTCCCTTGGCCGTTGTTGCAAAGCTTGGAATGACTGACAGTCACAACATGGGTACATTTTCTCCCAGCTTCTTGGTTCCTACCTTGTTAGATATGGTCTCTCTGGGCCTCCTGTGCAGATGGCCTTGTGGCTGGAACCCTGGGCCGTGTTCTGCTGTGGGGGCATCCGTAGGTGGCCTGTGGTGTGGGCCAGCTGCCTGTGCTCAATTTGCACCTGGAAATGATGAACAGACCCTCCGGCTGCAATCACACGATGCCTTCTCCATACAGAGTTCCGTAGGCTGGTGGTCTCAGCACCCCATTGAGATTTTGGTTTTCAGAAAGCCCGAAAGGGTAAAATTGCAAAACTGGACGTTCCACATAAGTCGTCGGATTACACGACAGTGCACATAAAATCGGTGTCACGCTGCTGACCCTGGCCGGCGACTCAGATGGCTTCTCTTTTCCCTGCGGTTACAGATCCGTCGGCACCGCCAGCCCCCGCTAACCTCCAACTGGCCAACTCCACCGTCAACAGTGACGGGACCGTGACGGTGACCATTGCCTGGGACCTCCCGGAGGAGCCAGATATCCCCGTGCACCACTACAAGGTGTTTTGGAGCTGGACGGTCAGCAACAAGTCCCTTGTCCCCACCAAGAAGAAGCGGAGGAAAACCACAGACGGGGTGAGTGGGGACGAGCAGGGAGGGCCGCGGCGTGCAGGCCGTAGGTGAACCCCAGCCCCTTCCTCTACCCCTTGGCTTCTAAGCAACCAGAAGAGCAATTTTACTGTGCACCTACTCTGGCCATGACACACTGCCCACAGCAAAGGGGTCTCCAGCTGGGTACCATGGCACACACCTGTCATCCCAGCAGCTCGGGAGGCCGAGACAGGAGGATGGCAAGTTCAGAGCCAGCCTCAGCAACTTAGGGAGGTGCTAAGCCACTCAGTGAGACCCTGTCTCTAAATAAAATATAAAATAGGGCTGGGGACGGGGCTCAGTGGTCGGGTGCCTCTGAGTTCAACCCCCATACCCACCCCACCAAAAAAAAAGACGACCACCAATCAGGGACATTTTTCACCTTGATTTAAGAAGAATCTGAAGGGCTTTATCATCCAGATGCCAAGAGTTAAATGTTCATTGAGCCCTTCTCTGCAGTGAGGTTTCTATCACAGTGAACAGGACATTCTGGTGCAGAAAGGAGTTAGCTGCTCGATTTACTTTCGGTGCACCTTCCTTTATTTTGCTGTTCTAACATTTATATAAACACTCTTCCCCCTCATTTATGCACTTGATTCAACAAATGAGTTCTGTTTAAAAATACTTTTTAAAAGATAGGATTTTTTTTTTTTTTTGCACTAAAGATTTTGATATTGGGCTGGGGATGTGGCTCAAGCGGTAGGGTAGCCCAAATTATGGGTCACTATCACGTGAGTGTCTTGTATTTTCCAATGGAAAAGAGGCAAGCTACATTCTATGTGAATTATTGCACTTGGAGATGTTAAAGTTTGGCCAACGGATCAATGAGATCAGAAAACAGAAAAGCACCCAAGAAATAAGACACCAAGGAATTGCATTAATAACTGATATATATATATTTTTTTTCATGCATGCTAATTGCCACCAGGGTGACCCCTTTATAGAAAAGCATTCTTTTCAATATCGCTTTTTTTTGGGGGGGGGGGTACCACAGATTTAACCCAAAGGCCCTCCACTACTGACCCATATCCCAGGCCTTTTTATTTTTTTTTAAATTATTTTTTTGAGATGGAGTCTCGCTAACTTGTTTAGGGCCTCACTAAGTTGCTGAGGCTGGTCTAACTCACGATCCTCCAACCTCAGCCTCACGAGTCACTGAGATTGGAGGCGTGTGCCACTCCACCTGTCCACCACCTGTCTTTTTTGAAATGACCAAGTGCATTATATTTCAATGAGTGTTTTAAATTCTAAGGCAATGATTTTTCTTTGTCTCGAATACAAGTTCTTGGGAGGGGGCTTTAACTTCTCCTGTCATCTTCAGTTCTAATTCCACCTTGCTCTGTGCACCTGGATGCCTCACCTTCTCCTTCCTGTCTCGTCCCCAAGATATTAGGCCAATGGTACAGTTTTTGCTTTACTTCCTTTCAATCGCAGCAGCATCTATCGAAAATGGGGTCAGTGTTTGACATTGACAATAATGATGGCAGAAATAGCTTCAAGTATTTTTTTTGAAGCTGATGTGTCTTGTAACTTTTGGTGGAAGATGTAGAACAGAGAGCAAAGAAGGGCAATTAATGCCATCTCATAACTGTCCCCGGTCTCTGGCAACCCCTCTTTTCTGTTCAGACTGCTGCCTAGAAGGAAGTGTGTTTGCAATCATCTGCTCCAGTACGTGCAGTTGTTGAATCAGGACAACGACCCTTTAACGGGTTTGGGCCTTTTTGTGAAATCTATTTTGATCCGCGGTAAAAGTGGATTTTCTACGGTGCAAATCCACACGGTGTCCGACCTTGGGACATTGAAGGTCCGTGCAAGCTACACGTTGGTATGCTTCACGAGGTCTGGTAAGACTTGCTATGGACACGAGAGGCGAAGACCGTTTCTAACGGGGCTCGGGGATACGCCCTCTGTTTGCAGCTCCAGAATTTCGTGGTCCTGGAGAGACTTCAGCCAGATTACGACTACACCGTGGAACTGCAGGCCATCACATACTGGGGGCAGACCCGCCTCAAGAGCGCCAAGGTGTCCCTTCGCTTCACGTCCCCACACCCCACCAGTTACAGTAAGTGACCTCCACGTGCGTCACGATGGTGACACACGCCTGTGTGTCTACGGAAGAACGAGGTGCAGAACAGTCTCCCCTCTGGAGACATCTGGGTGGTGTTTATTGTCGGTGCAGCTGTCTTGGTGTCGAGGAGGAAACTGAACAAGAAAACAGGGCGGGATGCACCTCGGTGGTAGAGCACTTGCCTAGCCCGGGTGAGTCTCTGGAGAGAAAGAAAGCAAGCGGTACCTTGTGAGCCACCTATTTTTGCACATCCTTTATTTGCACAAGCAGACTTCTCTCTAAAGAGAACACAAGCCGCCAAATGGTTCTAGGTTTTGTTTGTCTCCTGAAAGCGTGGCATGCCTGTTTTTTCTTGGTGTCACACTGTGGTCGAGTTACTTTTTGGACAGCTGCCTGATGCTCCGTGGAGTGAAGTTACTTAAGAATGGGACAAGGGTCCTGGGGAACCTGGGGCCATTGGTTCATTAGACTGGCAGAACTCTGCCTCCCTCGTGGAGTGGGTCTTGTTGAGAAGGCAAAGAAAGCACTCAACTTTGCAGAGGCAACACCAGCTCTGCAGAGTTGCATGCAGCAATGGCTCATGGTTATCTTCTGGGGAAAAGGCAGGCTCCACATGAGCAGGTTGGTTGGATATGACACTCTCTACAAGTACCAGAACCACAGCTTCCTGGCTTTTAGAAAAATTCAGAAGCTTCGTTCTTTTTTTTTTTTTTTTTTTTTGGTACTAGGGATAAAACCCAGGGGCACTTGATCACTGACCACATCTCCAACCCTTTTTTTAATGTTTTATCTAGAGACAGGGTCTCCTGAGTTGCTTATGACCTCACGGTGTTGCTGAGGCTGGCTTTGAACTTGTGATCCTCCCACCTCAGCCTCCAGAGCCGCTGGGATGACAGGCGTGCGCCACCAAACCCAACAGCTTCATTCACTTTTAAATCTAGTCATTCATTCATTCTTTGCATTGAAATGTAGGCCTGTGGATTGGGACGTGATTGTCTATGATGCTAGAAATACTATGCTGTACTACGCAGACACACATAGTGCGCAATACCCTTTAATTGCATGACACTATATATATATATATATATGATGTACATCCTCTGTATAGTGTATATGTCCTGTAAAATTTTCTATAAATATAGGGTAAAATGTGTGTACATATTCACATAACGTATGCACTCACCTATACAAATAGTCATTTCTCAGTATCTCTGGGAGATTGGATCCCAGACCACTGTCCCATGGATACCCAAATCCAAGGGAAGTCAAATCCTTTACATAAAATAGCATGATCTTTGCAGCTAACCCAGGCACCTACCCACCCCCGTGCACCTTAAACCATCGTGACTTACGATACGACGTCAATACCGTGTGCACGGTCGGTCTAGTGTTTCGTTTAGGGACTGTTAACGAGGAAAAGGAGACTGGGTCTGGGGCTCGGTGGTAGAGCGCTTGCCTCCTGTGGGTGAGGCACTGGGTTGGATCCTCGGCACCACATAAAAATAAAGAAATAAATAAAGATTAAAAAAATATATATAACAAGGAAAAGTCACTATGTGTTCCATACAACAGCAATGTTTCTCCCACGTATTTTTGATCTCTATTCGGTTGAATCCACAGATGTGGAGCCTACAGGTATGGAGGGCTTGAGTGCACACACACGCACGCACGCGCACACACACACATGCGCACACACATACACACACACACACACGCGCACACACACACAGAGACATTTTCCCCAACCCTGGGTGTATTCTGGTCTCTGCCTTCAAAGTGCCTGATGTTGAATTGGGGCCCTAAATGTAGAATAAAGACGCAGGGCCCTGTGCATGGCCTGCAGAGCCCTGGGGAGCCCTGGGAGAAGACGGAGCTCCCGCGGAGGAGGGGAATGAGCGCCACATTCTTCCCCGTGAGCCTCCGTCCTCTGTGCGCTCCCGACACACAGACTCCTTTCCATACAGAAGCAGGGCACAGAGAAGGAAGGGCTGGGCAGAGCACGCAGGGCAGAGGGCCCAGCCTGGGAGGCTGAAGGAGGCGGGAGGCCATTCTGTCCCGTGCAGGGACCACCTGCGAGGGACTCCCGCTGCCCCCCTCTGACCGGTGCCGCTTTGAGCTGCCTCGCAGCACCTCCAGCTGCAGGGCAGCAGGCCCCCCAGACCCAGTGCCTCCAACCATGAACTCGGAGCCCCTTCCCCCCTCACCAGGGCCAGAGAGTCCTTTGTCTCTGATTTTAAATCACATGTGACATCTGTCCAGCTGTTCCTGTGGCTCAGACCCTGTCCCCTCTTCCTCGTGAAATCCAAATCGTCATCCTGTAGAGCTCCACCTTCTTTTCTTGTGGTTTTCCCCCAAACCCTCTCCTCAGCCGCTAGCCGCCTTGTTTCTCTCCAACACCAGAATCTTTTCAGAGTCCGTCCCACGTCTGCATCCTTCTCTTCCCGTGGGCGGTGGGGGTCCCACCCGTGCTGTGCAGTGCGCGTGGCCCTCTGCGCTCCGGCTCCTTCCCGTCAACCGCATTCTTTCCCGTTAGCAGCTGGAGCGGGTCTGCCAACCCCCGTCATTTAATCTGCGCGCCTTCCCAGAACAGGGGCGAGCAGGGGAGAGCTGCCACCCCAGCTGCTCAGTGTTGAGGTTACCGCATCCCGAGTCTGTCTGGCCGTGGTCCCGCTCACGTGTGGAGCGCTCCTGGGCCACAGCACGTGCCTGGCCTTGTCCGTCTTCCTGGCCCTCCTCACCCGGCTCTGCAAACGCAGTGACTTCTTTTTCTGATACCAGGGATTGACCTCGGGGGCCCTCGACCCCTGAGCCCCATCCCCAGCCCTAGGTTGTATTTTATTTAGAGACAGGGTCTCCCTGAGCTGCTGAGCACTTGAGTTGCGGAGGCTGGCTTGGAACCCATGATCCTCCTGCCTCAGCCTCCCAACTCGCACACCTGTGTCGGCTGTTGTGAGCATCGGTCTTGGTGAGACACCACTGGTTATCTGTCTGTGTGGCATCCCACGTGGGTCATCTGTCCGTATGGGTCATCCATCCCGACTCCTGTGTATAATCCATCGCTGCACCATGCCTTCGAGTGAGACGGGATGAACAAGGTATTCCTTTCCTTCCCCAGAACCTCAGGGTACCTTGGATGGATCTTCTAAGCATTCATTTTGAAAACACGCCTTTCCTTACTCTGTTTTTTCCATCCAATCTCCTTCCTAGAACATTCCAGAGCTTTCTATAGGGGTCATTCAGTCGATCCATCTGATACAGGAGTAAAAACAAGGAGACAGAAATGGTATTTTTTTTTGTTATCTTCCAGCAACCGACGACGTCGTCTGTCTTTTCCAGGATATTTGCACATTTCAATCATGTGGCTCACCATTTCAGAGGAATCCTCTTTATGGGTGACACTAGAATTAGGTCTGCTAAGTGACTAAGTGGCCATACGTAACATTAAGATCCTGACCACCAAGGTATTTCATTGATTCCTAAGGGTTAGGATCTCGTATAATCATCTTTTAAAATTAGACCGAGTCTTCCCTGAACCAAGAGAGTACGACGGCCAACCTCACAATAGCTGCTTTATTCTAAAGACGGGATCCCCTAGAAATGGCTGCATTCAGCTGACGGATAATCTTGCACCTCTTGTGGATTCAGAAAAAGTAATGAAAGACAAAAACACGGAGCAAACTCCCTACAGCGACCTGCATTGCTTGGGCCTCTGGTTATTCTACAGAAGAGACTGGCTTGGTAACAGATGATGTGGGGTAGGGCGGAATGTGTGTCAAGCTTTCACCTCTGAAGCTTGATATATGATCTCGTAAACACCAGTGTGTGACTTTTACAAGAACACTCCATCTTCCATCATGATCCACCTGGAAGTAAAGAGTAATTAGAACTTGACACTCTAAGCAAGAGAAATTATATTTTACAGGAAGTGGGGGAGTAGTAACTGTCCGCATATAAATTACTTTTTGAGTTATATTCTTCCAGGTCTGCAGGCTACCGGGGTTTTAATGATAGATATTTTCATGCAGGCAGAGGCTGAATGTGCATGCAGTTTTATAAAAAGTTTCCCTTGAAGGCTGTCGGAGGCAACTCTGTCTTTAATGGAAATGCAGTGTGCTTTCTTGGAGGCAGGAGGAATAACTCCCAGGTTGACAGACTCTCAATATTTTATTGTTACCTCCTGCAACTGGAAAATTCTTCTGACTTTGCAAAATATTGAAAATAAAAATGGAAAGAATACTCTGAATATCTCAATTTGTAAAGTCAGTTTCAATTTGGGTGTTTGAAAAAAAATAGCACGAATCTTTGATTTTCTTAGTACTTAGGACTACTATCGAGCAGAAAGCCGACTTCATGCCAAAGTGGAAGAGACGGTCCTATAAACTCAGACACGCACACTAGCGTTTCAGCGTGCACGGTGTGTGTGTGTGTCTGTCCCGCAGCCCTGGCACACTTGAGCGGCCCTACTTGGGAATGGATTTCTGCCCTCCATGTCTTCCAGTCAAACCACAGTGGTTCCATCCCAAGGTCTGCAAAAACAAGTCCTTATGTCTCTAGTGAAAGATTAGAGTTGGCACAGGATTTAAAATGAACACTCACAACCCAGTGCAAGAGATCCACTTCTTGAAGAATGCACAGCTATTGGGCACAGCAAGAAAATTTTTAAAAAATGGAGAAGAGGTATTACCTACAGTGATTAAGGACAGCACTGGAGCTAGCTGCCAAGCAAAGCTCTCCCCAATCAAAGGAGCGTGGAATTTTATTCTGGGAGTCTATCCATATTCACGTTGGGGCTGGGCCCATCCCTGAGCAGGTCTGGGTGAGGATGCACATTTCTGACACCGTCAGTTCAGGATCACGGTTGGAGAAAAGAAGTTGGTGGACACATGTCTGTGCATGTTGAGCTTGAAGTCATTGTGAAAGGTTCAGACGGGGAACACAGACATTTCAAGGTGGCAGACTTGAGCCCTCTGGGCATGCTCAGTTCAGGTCCCAGA